GTGGAGCAAGTAAGCAGAAGTGACCAGGGAGAAGACGAAGTCTCCAACAATTAACGTGAATTAAATAATGACGACATCTTGACTCAATCACCACATGTGGTGTATAGTTGCCCCAATTGTTGTGTTTTATTTCTGTAAGTAATGTGTCTTACTATGGTTGCTACAGAGGAAAAATATTGACAAGATCAATGTTGGTCAGTGATAACCACACCTTCCACTTCATCTATCATTTAAAGAGGCTCGTATGGTATTTGCCAGCTTGCCTTGTCTTGCGTTGTTGTTGTCCATTGAAGGATTTATGTACTGCTCAACAGTGTGCTCCTTTCTTTTTTACGGCTATGAGATATGGTTGTTGAAAATAGTGTAAGTAATGAAGAGAGACTAGGTGTTTTTGATCATAGGTGTTTATGTTCCGTCTCCAGTGTTAAGTGGTAAAAGTAGTGTTAAGTAAGGACGAAAGATCAGCCAACGAGTTTGTGGATCTGTATCGATTAAGATATCTAGGTTGTCGGCTTACTCACTGAGCACGGTTGACTGACATAGGATTAGGTTAGAAAAGAGTTATAGAGGTGGTCAAACTAAAACATATCATGAATCCATGAGGTTTTTTGCCATCGGTCCGAAGCACTGAGGCGGAGGCGGTGTAGACTCTCTGTCTGGAGTCCTAGAGACACTAAGAAACCAGTGGTTGAAGACTGTAGATGATATGGTTGAAAATCGTCTTCAATGGGGCGGGATGCATTCACTCTTTGCGTCGGTAGCACAGTGGTTAGAACTCTCGCTGACCATGAACATGATCTGGGATTCGATCCCCTGCAGACGCACACCCGATATCAATGGTCGGCCTGCAAAATTTGGGCTACCGATATCCATGCTGAAAATTCCATACTTGTGCCAAAAATACAGTGTGGAATCAAGCAGTAATCAAATATAAAAAAATAAAAAATAGATCTCTCAAATGCATTACATCCTCGTGTTTCTCAGTGTAACTATGCTTTCTGTCGTACATTTCTTTCGATTTCCTTTTCTTGTCTGTTCCTAACTTTACCTTGGCTTTTTTTAAGGTGTGGTAACCTGAACTACCGCACTTTTGCGCATAACTGAAAATTTAGTTAAGTTCTTATGACCATACTCAACCGTAATAATCTAAATATTTCACTATGGACAACTCATCTTGTTACTAATGTTTTTGGTTTTTTGATTATCAGTTAGATACAGTCTTTCGAATGACTTAAGCAGAAACTATTGTATTTTGGACAATAATATCCTACTTATCCAATGTAGAATCGGTTCACAGTAATATCGAGGTTAGGCGAATATATAGTGGTTGTTTGCCATAACACATTCACTTATCTTTCCATATACAGAACCTCTGTCTGCTGCTACGGTAACCAAGTTTATAAAAAAAAATTAATATTTTGCCTTATCATTGTATGGAAATCATAACTTTTTAGTGTTGTTGTTTTGTTCTCTGAGCTGCTGTATGGTTTATTTGTGAAGCTTTCATCGTCCTTTCGGACAACTTTTTCATCAGTGATTTCAATATGGAGGAGGCTTCTGAATCAAAAACAATCCACCGTGAAGAAAACAGCTCCAATAAAATACCCACCTGAGCTATATATATATATATATATATATATATATATATATATATATATATCTTTTCCCGTATTTTAATTTCATTCTTCATATAAGTATTTTATTCGCCTGGTCCGTAGGCTTCTTCCTTGTTAGGTACCAGTGCTTAGTGAGTTCTGTGGTGTAGTAGTCACCGCTCTGTAGTTTGAATCCAGCTACCCGGATTTGAAACCTTTTTGCGTTAATATTTAAATGGTAGAGTGAGTGCTCGGTAGTCGTGTGGGAGGTGTGGGTTCGAACCCTAGATAAGGTACTCCTAAAGCGTCAGTTGGTCGACAAAGTAAGCCCAGGAAAGAGGTGAAGTTTGACTGCGAGGTTGGCAGCAACTCTCTATCCCTAAAAAATGTGGTGGTGTGATACAGAAAATGCGTGCCATTGGAATATTACTCCCACATGTTCCCACAGTTCAATAGTGCATTGGTAACAGAATACTATGTATATTTGAACACTCTATTTCATGTCGTTTGACGTAGACCGTAATCGCACTCTCAGTGATTGGTTAACGAGTATAAACTGTAGATACATAATCAGCTGTTTGATTAATGGAAAATATACTTTGGTTTCCGTGTCTTGTCTTCTGTTGTTCAAAAAGATCTACAGCACTGAGTTTCAAAACCTAAAGCCCAATGTTCCATTCGCAACTCAAGGAATGAAAACGAGAAAGAATAAAAATGGTTAGTATGTAATTTGGGAGTCTGGGTGGAAGACACGAAATGGCTGTCTTTGATCGTCGGCACCTGCGTTCTATCTCCCGTGTTACTTGGCAGGTGTAGTACGGCGAGTAATCTTGAGATTAGTCATCGAGTGGTAGGCTAGTAAAGGAGGGGAAATCAATCAACGAGGTTTTTAAGTCACACCAGTTAAGATGCTTAGGAGATGGGTTATGCATGAATCCCTAGACATCGCCTCCCTCCACAGACATACTAGCTGACTGGCATAGGATTGATGAGGTTGGAAAAGAGAGAGTTGGTGGTAGTGATGGTCAAACGAAAAAATGGCTTCATCACTCAATGAAATCCATAACAGTTAGTTTAGGCTAGCCAGTCACGTAGGGAGGTGTAGACTGACTGATTGGGGTGTTCGGGATGGTAAGAACCAATGAAGGCTGGAGACAGTTGGTAACGTGCGTCGGTGGCACAGTGGTTAGGACTCTCGCCGACCATGCACATGGTCCGGGGTTCGAGCCCACGCCGGCGCACACCTGATATCTATGGTTGGCCTGCAAAATTTGGGCTACCGATATCCATGCTGAAAATTCCATACTTGTATCAAAGATGCAGTGTGGAATCAAGCTGTAAATCAAAAATAAAAAATAACGTGGCTGAAAATCATTGTCAATGGCTGCCGTAGATGCACTCACTCTTTGTAATTTGTCATATCCAACAAAATTCTATTTTTCCTCCATATAACTTTTCTTTCGTCTCATATTTCTGTTGATTATATCTCTTTACTGTCTTCTCTTGCTTTGTGTGGTACACGGTGGGAGAGTGTCAACTCGAACTGGTGCACATCTGTATAAAGTCCTACGTTGAAACCAGTCAGTCAGTGAGAATCTTTCTCTGTTTCTGTAGTTGTACACGTCTGTCATCTGTTCTTCTTTCTTGTTTTATTCCTTTGTATTCCTAGTGGAATGTGAGGCTTCAAGCTAGAGACTTGAAGTTTCGGTAGCAATGGTGTTACTTTTTACGGGATGGGGTTGTTAGCCTCATGTCCAACCTCCCCTCTTTACCAGTCTCATTACTGTCTTAGCAAGGTAAAGGAGTGCGTGTCTGCTGGGGATCGAATCCCCGATCAAATGCATAGTCGGTGAGCATCCAACGGTTGTGCCACCGACGTACGTTTATTATATTTCCTCCACACTAATAGCATAATATGTAAATACGGTTAAAAGAGAGAAAACATTTTGTATAAGAAGGATAGTTTTAAGGGATATCTGTAGGGTTTTTTTGTTTGGTATTATTGTGAAACAACAATTTTTGTATCACATTGTGTGTATGTGTGTGTGTTCATAAGGTCCATATTTGCTTCTTATTACTACAATTTTCTGCTTGATCATCAACATGATCGCCTTATGTGTTTAATTTTTAATCTGATAAACATGTAATATTAGGGAATGTCACCTCTCTCTGCCCCCCCATATACATATCTTTACACTTTTGGAAGTCTAATACACACAACATTGACACATGATGATGATGATGTTTTGATAAAATTTTAGTTGTTCACTTTGTTTAGGAACATGCGTGTTTCATTATTTCGGATGCCTTCTGCATACTTTTCTCCTAATTAGTTATGTATAAATGGTTATTCGCATAATATTGTCAGTGTTTGATTGATTATGACAATGTTTATAATAATAATAAAGATGAATATACCCCACTAACTATAACATAATTAACCAAATATGTGTTGCGTATAGCTAAGTGATACTTCTAATAGACTACTACTTATTTGATGCCTGAGTGGTTAGAGGCATGAATTAGGTCAATTGAGGTGTCTAAGAGAGATGTGTTGTTCATGATGAACCATCGCCTTCTTTGATGAGTAATGTTTAGATGGTGGTATAAAGGGAACAGTTGTTGGAAAAGAGTTTAAGATGGCCATAGCAAAACACCTTGTCAATCCTTTAAAGTCTTTGACAATTGGTGTGGGGGGGAGATGTAGATTGCTTTGTTAGGTTGGTCCTCGTCGTCGGGATGGCAAGAACACCAATGACTGAGAGAGACTATTGATAGTGTGGCTAGAAATCATTCCTCACTGGTGCAGATGCATATTCACCCTTTTTTTAATCTTTCAGATCGATTAAACCGCCATGTTTTTCCTTTCTTTCGTACGTTTCTGTGCTCATTATAGTTTTTGAAATAATCTTTTTTCTCCCTTTTCTCGACATTCATTATGTGTTATGGGTGGCATGGCAGCAGCTTGATGAATTAGTGCATTCAGTCTGTCAGTTATTGATCATATATTTTTGATTTCCCACTGATTGATATATCTGATCGAATTGATCAGCTTCATTTTTGATATATCGGTTCGTAAACAGACGCCACAATATTATGAGAATTAAAAAAAGATTGAAATCACTTGTTTGAATATTGCTTGCAGTAGTGGGGAGGAGAAGGGGCTGGTTGCACAACGGGCGGGTTTCGTGGGATAGTAGAAAGTTACTGCCTCCGGTGTCGAGTCCTAAACAGGACGAAACTCTCTTTTTGGATTCCACTGGACAAGTTATTTCTAGATAGTGATTGATTTTCTGGGTTTTTTTCAATTTTATTCTTAAAATACAATAATTCATGTGATATATATAAATTTTAGGGTCTGTTGTAAATTTCAAATGTCCTTTCCATTATATTATTTATTTTTAGACCATATTCATTCCTACGCTTAGACAATCAATCCCCTACACCTGTACCATTTACTCCAGACGCTTTCTTTGGTCCGGGTATCCCACATCAAGCAAAAGCGATACATTGTTTAGATCATGGTGAAGTGGTTTGTGCTGTAACCATCAATAATGCTACACATCAAATTTATACCGGTGGTAAAGGCACTGTGAAAATTTGGGATTTAAATTCTGCCTCGTCTGGTCTCTCACCGAATTGCAGTGGTGGTGGCGGTTCTAGTCAAGTAAAATTAACCAAGTCATGTATCACAAGTCTTGAATGCCTACAACGCGATAAATATATACGATCGATTAAACTAACTCAGGTATGTTTTTATTTGCTACTGTGAGCTCCTTTTACTTATTTACAGCTTGTTATTTAGTTGATTATAGTTAGCTGTAGAATGGAGTGTGGTTATTATATAGGCTGAGAAGACCGTTGAATGGAGTGACATCATGCGCCAGGCCCTCGAGATGACATGCCAGTATGGGAAATGACTAGTTGGGCGTCTGTTTAAAGTTAATATGGAAGAAATTATGTACGGAGGAAATGAAAGCTTGTAGGCGGTGGTATGGAACCATCTAAAAGGATTGCAGACAACAAAGTCAAATGGTGGTGATTGTCTGCTGAAGCTATATGTTCCACTAAGAGCCCAAGAGAATAACAATAATTAGTAATAATAATGGAATGGAAATTCATCAGAAGTTAAACGAAAAACAGGTCTCTGTCATGACTCTACATACCACATTGAGCTGAGGAGGTCTTATCACTTTATTGATTTCATCATATGTTAACACCCATTTTCGTCTGAATGAGTAGTGGTGTGTAGCTATCCATTTAGCATGATCACAGCTTGGTTTTGTTTTCATTTCACCTGTCTAAGGGTGTCTAATTAGGCGTTATCAGTCTTCATCCTCTATTTGAACTCAATTATGATTGGAAGTGACAAGAGGAGACCTAGATTGGTAGTTTGTGTTGACGTTGCTGCAAGGTCAGTTATGTTACCATTCATTTCACACAACAGTTGAGCGTAACTCATTATAGATAAGATTTTATTTTGATAAATCACACAGTGTGTTATACAGTAATATTAACTGATGACGTTTCGAGCACAAATTGTTGCTCATAATCATATCACGTTTGCGCTCGAAACGTTATCAGTTAATATTACTGTATAACACACTGTGTGATTTATCAAAATAAAATCTTATCTAAAATGGAGTTGAGCTGAACATGTGATGATAACAGTGAAATAGTCTTATCCAATTCGCAACTCAATCTCATGGCTAAGCTTGTAGGGTGGCAGACTAGTGATATGACGGTTTCTGGCTTTAATCTTACCACGGTTATCACTCACCGGAATTGTAAATTTTTGGTTGAAACTGGAAAGTCCCTCCACTTCTGTTACTAGTTCCGTATTTTACTGAATTCTGGTCATACTACTTGCAAGTAGGCTGAAATAATTTACGAAAATCTTGTGCGTGTGATATTGTTGAGGGCGTATTTCCCCATAAATTTAAGCGATACTAACTGTAGGTCTTCAAATGATTGTGTATTTACTTTTAAATGTCAGTACAGGTGTTTTAAATTGGGCATGGTTTTACTGTTTGGTAAAAGATGGGATTCCCACAGCACTCTGAACTGTTATGAGTGCCAAGAGCATAAACATATTACTAGCCAGCGATGGTGAGCGTAACTACCAGTATGTTACTGTGTCAGTTACAAATACTTCTAAATAGGTATAATCTTTTCTATCCTAAAGGTTACTAGAGGTTCAGAGTTATTATAAATCGTGTACATATTTCAGAAATCATTATTGTTATTATTATTGTTTGTTGCCTAAATGAACTTCGAGAATAGCTAAGTGACAAGCAGTTGGTGGGTTTTATGCATGATTGTGCTTAGGTATCATACAAATATTCAATCTGTCCTTAATAATATGGACTCTTGGTGTAGTTTTGCTTTTGGACCAGCTTGCTGTCCCCTATGGTATTCCTGATTGTCGTGGATTGGGTCATGCGGCAGACCGTGGGGACAGGGAAGACAGGTATACGTCGGACTAAGAAAAAGACTGGAAGATTTGGATGTCGCGGATGATTGATGTCTGATGTCACACAAACTCAAAGATCTACGGGTGGATGAAAACCGACAAGTTGGCTGAAGAGGAAGTGTTGATAGGACTTCAAGTGAACGTAGATAAGGCAGAGGTGATGAAGATAACTAACCACCACCACCACCACAACAACAACAACAAACATCGATCAACACCAGTCGGAAGAGTCTAGAGAAGTCACCTCTTTCACGTATTTGAGCAGCATCTTTTCAGTTACGGGCAGTCGGAACATATGAGGATATCAAAGGACTGACGGACAAGACATACCTTCATCACTCTGAAATCTGTGGGAAAATTGACTGCACTCAGCATAAGAAATAAGATTCGGATTTTCAACACTTATGTCAGGTCATTTCTGCTATTATGGTTCAGAGACTCATTACACAATGTTGAGCATTTTGAACAGGCTTCACACTTTAATCAACAACTACTTCTCTCCATAATGAAGATCATATGGCCGGCGAGAAAGTATTAGCACTAAGGTACTCTGTCCATGAACTAGCCAACATTTCACTGCCCAGCATATATGCTCAAAAATGGTTGTGGAGGGGTTGGTTATATTCTGAGGAGGCTGTCGATTGACATGACAATCTAAGTGAAATCCTTGAGTGGGACTTGTATGATTGAGGTACAATGAATTGTGCGTCTGAGGATGACATGAAGGATACCGTGTGGGTAGGAAATAATGGTTTATGATCAGTCGTGGAAACACCTAAAAAGACTGTAGAGAACAGGGTGAAGTGACTATGTACTATCCCACAACAGTACTATTTTCTACAGGGACGTAACAGAATGATAATGGTTATAATCAAAAGCTGTGATAATACTGGCTACAATGACTTATTTGTTTATCGATCAATGGAATCGTGCTAACTTGCAATTTTAACACTTTACTTGCATAATCATTATCCGTTTATAATTATACAGATTTCACCCCATACACACAGTATTCTTTTCTTTCTATCTCTTACAGGATGGTAAAACATTAGTTGTCGGTGGAGAATCTAGTACACTAAGTATATGGGATTTAGGTCAAGCTAGTCCACATCCAAAAAGTGAACTAACCTTTACTGCTCCAGCATGTTATGCATTAGCTGTATCACCTGATAGTAAATTGTGTTTCAGGTAAGTTTGTATTATTGTTGTGGTGTTTCATGTATTATTTTGTTCTGTGTGTGTGTTGTCTTGTCTTACGATTTTCCACCTGCCTCTCGTCCTATAAGTAGTAGTAGTACATGCAAATGATGCATATTTTTGTATTTTTTTTAAGATATACTATTATCTTTTCATCACTTTGCTTTTTTTATATTTGGGCGGTTAAATTTGTTTATTTGTTGTTTTTTCTTTCTGATTTTTTTTGTCGCGTTCTGTTATTGTAAGTTCCGTTAGCGTCTTTTTGTCATGTCTCTAACGTTTTTCTGTCTACAATCAACATCGAGGTATTTATCGATTAATATGGAGTACCCTTTTGGTGTGTGTGTGTGTGTATACACGATCGATGGAATTCTCCTGTCACTATTAAGAACTAGGTAACATTATCAATTTATCAATGTATAGTCCTTTAGTAGATCACTTGAAAGCCTGATTAACTCATTTAATACAGATTCGATCACAAGTTGACATCAGTTAGAGAATGATTGGAAAATTTGGGAGTATTGGATAGCTGGTTCGTCCTAGTTTGGGACTCTTCAGTGGTACGCACTTGCCACAAGGGTTAGAACCCTAGGACCTTCCGGTTATAAACCTGTAACCAATCAAATCTCATGCTGGCTAGCGATTGTCTCTATGCAGAGGTTACCTGGAGTTCTAGCCAGAAGTCGTAACCAGTGGAGTCCTACAAGTGAGGTAAGAGAACATTTACTCGTCTGCGGTTTCTCTATATTGGCCATTAGGATAGGGTCCCAGTGGATGGATTGGCCTATGACCTCACTTTATAATCAGAGGGTCCTGGATTCGAACACTAATGGGCACGTAGTGATGAGGAGTGTCAAACTAGGACGAAACAGCTGTTCAGTTCTACTCCCTTTTGGTTTTCATTGTTCCTCTAACTGACGTCAACTTGAGGTGAAACCTGTAAACAATCAAATCCCTGCAAAACAACAGTTGGTCACTTATGCATAACTTCCCTCTCACATCAACAGTATTGCGTAACACGAGTTCCGATATTTGACTGCCCACACTTCGTTTTGATGACGAATCTCAGTGGATATGGAATTTAGATCTGAGACATTTAAGCGATTTATAACAAATTATTTATTGTTATATTTTGTTGATGGTGACTAGCATTGGAATGCAAGATACTCATATCGTCCTGTTTGCGACTCTTTAGCTGTAGATGTACCTTTGTTTCCACGTAGACTTAAATCTGCTACCCTTCTTTCAGACGCCAAAGCGTTAACCACTGGGCCACATAAATCACACTTTACATTACTTGGAATAGTTATTTTGAATTTCAATTGATTTAGTTTTATCGGGCGAAAATATCCAGTCCTTCTTTCCGTTTCCAGTGGGACATAAGGCTTCAAGCTTTGTGTTTGAGGTTCCAGTAGTATTGGTGTCATATTTACTTACAGGGTGAGGCTAATAGCCTCACGCCCAACCTCCCTCCTTACCGGGCTTTCTACCGCCTTAGAGAGGTTTGGGACTGAGTTGTCTGGGATTTGAACCCCGGATCACGTACGTTGTTGGTGAACATCCTACCTACCACTGAACCACCGACTCTCTAAATACACCTTAAGGTTAACATGATGTTGTTTAGTTGGAGTTTGAAATTGAGTGCTGGGTGTGAACACCTCAGTGGAAACACCATCACTTATTGCTGATTCAGGTACATCCATGTGACGAGTCTTGATTAGTGACAAAATGTGCACTTCGAATTCCACAACTAGCCACCATCAACCCTTATGACACCATGTTGATCTCCGGGCATCATTGAATCATCCGTACTAAGAACTGCCGACATGTTATCAGAGACTGAGCATTTCGGTCTGTCGTGATCTCAACCAAATGGGAAACAAGAATTAACTTCAAAAAAATTATTGGTTTTCCCTTTGATTTTTGCTCATCACCATAGAGTAAGATGCATAAGTCAAATCTATCAGAGGTTATTTTGTAGTAATTTTTCCACTGAAGTGTTGTGAATGAATCAATGAATGATGACCGCTCATGAAAAACAACAAACAAACTGAGTGATGATCATAAGATTGATTCCATATGTTCATTGTTTAGTAATAATAATAATAATAGTTAATAATGAAGTTGTAGAACTCTTATTTATGCTTATTAGACACTGGTGTGGTTCATTAGATCACGCACTTCGTGTCAAACCGGTGATCACATATTCGAACTCCACTTCTACTTTCTATGGCCAGACAGTGTTATTAGTAGTTCAAGTACACTCGTGTGATTCAAATTCATTAAAATGCATATGATTGTTGATTAACATGAGACAGACACCAAGCATTCCATAAAGGCTATTAGAATGTCACTAAACACCTGGATAAGTTCATTTCCTATCCGCTAATGATTGTAAACAGACATTTGACATATATTGACATATATAGCATGCATCCATTTTACGCTGTTTGTTCTCATCAGCTGTGTACAAACCTATGACATTTAATAAAGGCAAGTTATAGTACAGTTTTAACATATGCTTTACTTAGCATCACAAATCAGTCCTATTGTAAGGATTGTTGTAAAAAAGTCATATGGAAGTCAAGGGGAAATGATGGTGAGGGAAACAAAGTGATGAAATCAGAAGAGAAAGAGTTACTAAAAAGAGAGAGAGAGTTACCAGGGTAGTTGATGTCCCACGACGGGTTCCTTTTGAACTAATTGGGTCAGGTCTCAGGCGTTGTTTTGTGATAGCTTATGTGTTCCACCTATTGAAATGATTACAACACGTGTTACGCATGCTAAGCTATCGTCTCCTTCATCAAGCAATGTTAGCTGATATGAGATTAGATTGGAAGAGAGTTTGGGTTGGCCAAACTAAAACATAAAGCATAAATCCATGATCCCTTTGACAGTTGGTTTATGCTATGCTGGTTGGTAGGGTCCTCCAGATGCTAAAAACCGATGGCTCGAGACTTTTGATGGATGTACAGATGCATTCATCCCTTGTAATATCTCATGTCCATTAAACCCTTTTTTCTCTCTAAACTACGTGTGCTACATGAAGTGTGACAACTTGAACTGTGGCACACTTCTGTGTAAAGTAAGTCCTGCGTTAAAACTCAATCAATCAGTCAGTCTTTTATGTGATAACTGAGTAATATTTATGACAATTGGAAGTTTACACACACACACACACAACTCATTTTAAAAGAAATCATGCAAACGTACTAACAATTTTCTTCTGTGTTTTTTTAAATTCTCTCATAATTTTAGTTGCTATTCAAACGGTAATATTGGTGTATGGGATATACACAATCGTCTTTTAATCCGTCAATATCAAGGACATGCTGAAGGTGCATCTTGTGTAGATATACGTCCAGATGGTACACGTCTATGGAGTGGTGGATTGGATAAAACTGTTCGTTGTTGGGATTTACGTGAACATTGTCAAATAAGTCAAGTGGATTTATCAGCTCAAATATTCTCTCTTGGTTATTGTCCTACTGGAGATTGGATAGCTGTTGGATTAGAGACAGATCAAGTTGAAGTATTTGGTCCAGGTCGTCCAGAACGTTATCAATTATCATTACATGAAAGTTGTGTATTATCGTTGAAATTCGCTCACAGTGGTTTATGGTTTGCTTCTACAGGAAAGATCATTGTCTATACTCTTGGAGAACTCCGTATGGTGCTAATCTATTTCAAGTTAGTTATATATATTAAGTGTTGGTTTGGCTAATGTTTTTCTAGTCTACTGATCTTATTCCTTTACGTTCCGATTGATATAAGGTTTCAGTAGCAGTGGTCTAATTTTTCGGGGTGGAGTTGTTAGCTTCACAACCAAATTTCCCTCTCTACCGGGCTTACTACCGGTTGAGTAATGTTTAGGGGCGCGTCCGTTGGGGGGGGTTGAAGCCGGGCCACTAGCGTGGTTGAAAGGCTGGTTCTACGGCTGATCTTCCGACGCATACAGCTCAGTTTAAAAAATACTGGTTAAATGGGATCAACCCACGGGAAGCATGGACCTAGAGTGAATGAACGGCTATGGTAAAGAATATAATTTTGTAATAACTCTTTTCATATTTTGATCCCAATTTAAATCAAATAAATATTCAAGCTTTGGTTTGTAGGGATTTGATTGATTGGTTACAGGCTTTCATCATGAGCTCATATTGCTTAGAGAACCATTGGAAAACCAACTGGGAGTACTTGACAGCTGCTGCTCTTCATCAGTACGCACCCACTCCAACTGAGTTCGAAACCAGGACCCTTGGTTACAAGACGAGCTCGTAGAGCATTAAGCCACTGGGACCCGATCATATGGCACTATCCAGGTAGGTAGTTACTTGGGTTTCTAGGGCGAAGTGGTGACCAGTAGGGTACAGCAGGTGAGAGGTGTGAGGACAAATACTCGCCAACGGTGACACTGGCTAGTGGTCGTACCATATCGTGAATTGGCAAAAGTTGGAATTCATGAACTGGTCATCGGATTGAGTCCAAGTAGCTTAATGGTCTATGAGCTTGTTTTTTAACCAGAAGGTCTTAGGTTCGAACCCAGTTGGTGTGGGTGCGTACTGATGAACAGTCGCAAACTAGGCAGACGAAACAGCTATCCAGTACTCCCTGCAGATTTTTCAATGTCAGCTCATGATAAAATCCTCCTGCCAATCAAACAAAATCCCTACAAACCAATACTTGAAGAGTATTTCCAACATAGTCGCAATATAGAGCAACACATTACGAACGTATTGTACAACTACAAACAGAAGCATTACAATTAGAGATTAAACAGGGAAAAGTCGAAATAAGAAGAATCAAGTTAACAGATAGTATACAAATGTGAGAACATTAATATACATTCTTGGAGAAAAAAGAGAGTGATAATTAAAAAGTTTGTTGAAATATCCAAATGAGTATAAATATATTGAGGAGGGATTTTTGAAACAATCTTTTCACTAGAGTGTATACATTGTGCACTGTTAGTGCTTTAACACTAATTAACATAATTATTGAAGTGATTGATATAAACTACTTCGGTATAATTTTACTTGTTTATTTATGATATCCGACTGTCAATCGAAGGGCGTGTGTTTACTGCTTAGTAGTAGCAGCAGTTCGCTCCATCCTCCTCTATGACTGTGAGTGAGACATGGTCATTGAAAGTGGAAGACCTGAAAAGGCTAACTCCCTTTGACAATAGATGTTCGCACTCTGTCCGTCGTGTTAAATGTGGTTTAATATGGTGAATAGTATTCAGGTTAGGTGTAGAGTGTTAGGTAATACTGGAAAGTCGATCAATGAGTTTGTGAAGCTCCATCGTTTAAAATAGTTAGGACATATATTACGTAATCCTAGCGATATCCTCCGTCGTTGCACAATGTCACCTGACATATGATTAGATTGATTGGGAAAGAGTTATAAGCAGTAGTCAATCCATGAAGTCTTTGATAGTTGGTTTGAGCCAACCATGTAGGAAGGTGTAGACTGCCTTGCTGGGCTTATTGGTCCTCGAGATACCAAAAACCCCAATGATCAAAGACCATTGGAGATGCGGCTCAGAATCGTTCCCACTGGTGTCCTAATGCTTCTTCTCTATGTAATTATCATTTCTCTTGTATATTTCAGTTTACTCTATAGCTTGCTATACCCTCATTATTATTATTATTGTTTTTTATGAATGTGTATTATTTTAGGTCAAAGAAAACTCATCTGTATTGAGCTGTGACATATCACTGGATGACAAACTTTTAGTCACTGGATCGGGTGATCGTAAAGCTACTGTTTATGAAATAATTTATTGAACTTAATGACACCACTTACAATTTAAACGTATGCATACTTCTCCTTCCTTTTCCTTTACACCTTTGCTTACTTCTTTCCTTCCCTCCTTGTATTGTATTGTATTGTACTGTACTGTGTTTGTTTTCCTTACTACTACTACTACTGCTATGGCTGCACTGTCGCTGTTATTGTTGTTTTTAAATACCTAGGACACATGTGTGACACAGCAACACAAGACAGGACAACGCAGCGCAGTCCAGCGCACCACCCTACACTACACTACACCGCAAAGTAGTATTTATTATGAATATATAAACAGGCAAACACAAACGAGTATTTTCTAGTCATACAATCCATATGAATATTAATTTTATTGTTATTATTAATACTACCATTTTATGGTATGTAATGTAATGTAATGTAGTGTTATTTGTGTTTTGCCTTGTTTTTGTGACATTATTATTATTGAAAAGTGACAAATATTTATGAATTCAGTATGAATCCATCCCACTTCACTTACTTCTCATCACTGATCTATTTGCTTTCCCTTCTTCATGCTTATACTTTTACCTACCTTACTTCACTACCTTACCTACCTTCCTATCTATCTATCTATCTATCTGTCCATCCTATTACGATTATCATCTGTTTTATGTTTCATTTCAGGCTGTTTATACCACTACTATTGCTATTATTATTATTATTATTTTCGATTTCCTGTGTACCATTTCTATAGGGAAATGTGAAAGAGGAAGATAATACCTGTAACTGTCCACTGTACACTGCGCTACACTACTTAGTTGTCGTGCTGCTACTGGTGGTGGTGGTGGGTGGTTATGAGGGTGTCTGGTGGTGTATATCAACACAAATTAGCGGCTCACTCTGTTGTATAGAGCTCATTAATATACATCATATATACACACATACATACACTCGCATGCATATGTATACGTGTTGTAATCCCCGTGGACAAGGATGGCAACATGAAAATTGCTGTAGGAAACGAAGTTAATGATGATAATAACAATAATAAGCAGCAGCACAGTATGCATTGTTTCCTCTCTTTTCCTTATCTTTCTTCTTCTCTTTTCATTCATGTACCAACCATCCTATGTTTTGTTGTGTCTCAGGTCCATCCATATGCACATTATCCAGTCTATTTCACAAATATTCATACACACACACACACGCAAACATACATCCATCCCCAGCATTTGTTAAAGAGGAGTAGAAATTCAGTCTAGTTTTTACCGCTTTAATACTTTAATGCTCTGTGTGTATGGACTCTTGGTTATATTTTCATCGTCGTCGTCATTGTTGTTGTGTAACGACTGTTAGCGGAAGCAGTCGTCTGTGTCCCGACACAAACACGCATATATATATTCAGTGATTGTATCGCGGCTTTTTAATATCATGCGTTTTTATTCTATTTTTCTTTTTTTAATGTCCTATCTTGGAGACAAAAAATTGTGTTTTTTTTAATTTTATCCTTTTCCTTCAGTATTTTAATCTTTAACAACAGTTTCACTGTTGTTTTTGGTCTTTTTTTTGGGGGGGGGGGTGTGCTTATTTATTGTATCTATTGGTTCCTTTCGGGGGGCTTTTTTCAATGGCAGAAAATGCATTCTCATCATAAGAGCAGCAGCAGAAGCAGGAGGAGCATTATCATCGTCAAAAGTATCTCTCTTGTTATATATTATAATACATGAATGCATAAAAACCTGTGTATAGTCTGTCCCATTATTATTATTATTGTTATTATTAATATCACCATTATTATTGATAATCAAGTGAAAATCTTTTATGTTTTACCAATTTTTACTGAATCATTTATAGTCACTATCTATAATGATAATAGTAATAATTGTTATTATTTTGTATCGTATCATCTGTTTCCACCATTTTGATGATTGATCCTTATATCGTAACTGTCTCCATGCCCGACCAACCCCGACCCCGTCACCCCTACCCTCGCCGTCTCACTCACTCTCCCCCTAACTCTGTTTCCGCTTTTTTTTCTCTCAATAATATAATATTGAATTATGTGTCAAATTGTACTGACCTTTTTTTGAATGATTGATTGAATATGTAAATAAGACGACGTCTGTTGTTATTGTTGTTGTTCTATGTGTATGTCTGTTGGTGGGTGTGGATGGTTGGGTGCTATGGATGTGCGAACACGTTTCCTTATTTGTTTATTTATTTTATATATTGTAAACAAATGATTTTTCTTCTTAACATCACAGCTTCAATAATATGTAACAATAAATAAATAAATATATATATACACATATACCTGCATATAAAACTGTTGTTTGTATTTATTATTATTATTATCATCAATGTGTTTTTAAAAAAATACTAATTTCGAGGTAAAAATGTGTTATGACAAAGAGTGTTGCTGTATTTGTGAGTGATTGTCGTCTAATTTGACTAGAATGTACTTCCAGAATCCGACACTATAATCAAACTGTGATTACTGAGATAGACACTAAAGTAAGACTGGAGAATAGTAGTGACAACTGGAGCAGTAGGAGATGAGAGTGTGTGTGAGAGAGAATCGGTAATGGACGTTTTATTTAAGAAGAAAACATCCATCCTATTTATACATTTTTAACCATATAAGAAGTTAACTAGAACACCGTAGATCATTCTGATTAGTTGACAGCTGGCTCAAGGTTAAACAATGAAACGAAAAGAGTTGACCAATGAGATTGCTTCCTGTTCACGGAGTAAAATCGATTTAGATTTGAGGAATAAACACTTGTAACCCTGCAGCCATTCACTGACTTAAAATGTTGGTTTCAGTTTTGACTGCTTCCCATTAATCTTCTAGTGGAAATTGTGACCAGTGGGGTATATCAGGTCGGGTGTAAGGACGGATACTTGCCACCGATAACATTGGCAGTTGGTCGCGCCATATCGTGAATTTGCAGAATTTGGAATTCATGGGCCAGTGGTTCGGGCCCTAGTGGTCTAATCATCTGAGAGTTCACCTTGTTACTAGAGGATCCAGGGTTCTACCGTTGGCGGTGGGTGCGTACTGATGAAGAGTCGCAAACTAGGATGAGGGCACAGCTGTCCAGTACTCCCTGCAGTTTTTCGACTGGTCTTCTAGCTGATGGTACTTAGTTCATGGTGAAATCCCGAAAATACATAGTATCTTGCATTTACAAGATCTCAGAAATATTAAGCTATAAGTAGGCAAATCGGATTGGTTGTCTGACCATAGAAAATTAAGTCATAAATAGACGAATCAAAAGTGTCCAATAAGGTTATCCTGTCGGTACATGTATAAATCATGGTTTCATGGGTAAGAAAGTATCTTGCCTGTGCTAGCAAAATGTGACTGATATGTATTTTCTGAATGTTGTAATCGGTTTTTCCAGATGAAAAGAAGTCGTTGCTTTTTGTTTCACTGCTTTTCATTTTTGGCTGTTAGAAGCCTAAAATTGGTAAAATTTATAAATATATTTCGAAGATAATTTCAACTCAAAAGGCATATTAGCAGCACAAGAATGTATTTAAACATAATGGAAGGTCTTATTATCTATCCTACGAATATGTTTGTTTCCTCTTTGTTCAAACTAGTCAAGGAATGCAATTAATGTTGTACATCATATATAATACGGTTCATAGTCCAAATGGGGGGGGATGTGGCACCGAATTGGTTGAAGCACATCATTTTGGTTTAGCTCAGTATGTCTAGGGTAAAAGTCCGACTTCATCTGCTTGAGACTTGGAAACTGGGTAGCAGTGTCATTAGCCCTCTGTCGCTCACACACACACTAGTGTGTGACTCGTAGACTAGAACATGAAGAATCTCATTTCATGTAACTGATTTCCCAACAGTTTCTTTGTTGGGATTTGACTTCTTTCACGTTTGATTAAGAATCCTGGGCTCGAATGCCGATAAGTTCGGCTGCTGATTCGTAGTCATACTGGAAACAAATCAATTCCTTACAAACTAACTCCTGCAAAATAAATCTGATGCCTTCTATTGACTGGGTAGAAGACAAAGTTGCCTGAAGTTCTAATGAGAAGTCATGACCAGTGGGGTCCAACCGGTCGGGAATGAAGACGAATATTCCCCGAAGAAATTGGCTGATGGTCAAGCTAAAATAACAAATTGGTAGAAGTTAGGATTGTCTACGATCTTAACTTGTAACATGAAGGTTTGGGTTCGAACTCTAACTGGTGGTGGATGCGCACTGTTGTGGAGTGCCAAACTGGGACGAAACAGCTGTTCAGTACTCCTCTGTGGTGTTTTCAGTGGTTCTCTAGCTGGTATCAATCCGTGTTGAAATTTGTAATTGAGTTCGGGACTGTGCGTGGATAAGCAATTTTCGGAGATTTGAAACTTTGTAAAAGCAATCGGCATAGTTGAATTTTTAGATATCCAAGACACGTGAACGGACTAACGACGTTGTAACGAGTAACTGCGCCAATAGACAAGTTTGGAACCTTGTCAACTCTCATATTTACCTAATTTGCTTAACCTGTCCCTAGCCTAAGCCTGACACTAACCTATCCTTAAACCGACGAGATACCCTGTTCATTCACTACTTTTCTGCATGATTATATTGTTATTTACGTGGTTTCTCTGCATTGCTCTGATTGAACTTTCCAGAGTCAATGATATGTTCGTTCCTGTTGATTGTGTAAAGTATAAAGGTAACTCTAAACTTTAGTGACCCAAAAAGACGACCGTCACAATGGCCTTGATGAGTCTTTATCAAACGGTTAGATGGGTTCAAAGTACAGACGAGTAATTTAGAAAACATTCTGGTAGAAATCTAATGTAATGTTTAAAAAATAGTTATATAGGCTAAGTTTTTGTATGTGTATCTAGAAAACTTCCTAATTCCTTTGTGGAGTCTTCAGTGAAATTCCAAACCTATTCCTGTACATACTTACCTCCAGATAAGTGTATGTAATGCTGTTTCGTGACCCATTCACAGTTCTATAGCACACATGAACTTTAAAAATGAACGGCACATCTTCTTGGATAGGTTTTCTGTAACGAGAGTTTGGATATATGTGCACGTATCCATCAATAGCGACTACTTACTTCTGTAGATACATTACTCATCCACATCTACAAGCTTCGTATAAGCCCATTTTTTCAACAGTACTCAAGTACTACCTCTGGATGGAATTTGCGGCTCAATTCGTGCACTGTATCTATACTTCAGCATTTTTTCTATGGAATTATATGAGCGGTTGATTAAGGTCATTATTACGTCCGTTTATTTGGGTCGCTATATTTTTATTTTATTTTTGATTACAGCTTGATTCCACACTGTATTTTTGGTACAAGTATGGAATTTTCAGCATGGATATCGGTAGTACAAATTTTGCAGGCCGAACATAGATAATAGGTGTGCGTCGGCAGGGATTCGAACCTCGGACCATGTTCATTGTCGGCGAGAGTCCTAACCACTGTGCCACCGACGCACTAGTTTGCTTGGTTGGAGGATTTCATCTTCAGCTGACATCAATTAAAAAATCTGGCAGAAGTGGATAGCTGTTTCGTCCTGGTTTGGGACTGTTTATCAGTGCGCACCCACCGGGGTTCGAACAGCACGTCAAAGGTGAAGACAACTGCTCCATCGAAGAAGAGATTGTTGAGTGGTTCACACTATATGATGAATTGGCAGAAGTTAGAATTCATGGAGCGATCATTTGATCGGGTCCTAGTGGCTTGATAATCTAAGAACTCACCTTGTAACCAGAATGTCCTGGGTTCGGACCCTGGCGATGGGTGCGTGCTGGCGAAGAGTCCTAAAATAGACTGATGAAATAGCCTTCCAGTACTCCCTGTTTGTTTTAAATGGTTCTCTTACTGATGATGAAAACCTCCAACCAATCAAACAAAAACATCCCTACAAACGAATATTTGAATGTTACGAGTTTAACAATAGCCAAACAATTTCAACTTTACCGCAGTAATACAAGATAGAATTGTATGTAAGGAATTAACTGTTGGGTCATATAATTGTATCGCTTCCACTGATCATTTATTTTAGAGCTAAGCTATACGTTATAAATTAGACCAAAATATAAGGAGATATTTCAACTGTCTATTCTGTTTGGTTTTCTGAAACACAATATATTCATGTCATAGCATCGACTGAATGGGAGATAGTGAGTTATTTGTTGTGTTATTAAACGAAGGAATGATTGAAGACCTGCATCTAGGATGCGAGCCAACTGAGGATAAAATATTAGTCAATAGATTTGCTGTACATCATGATAAAAAGACAACCAATGAGCTTTCTTCTTCTCCTCACGTATAGTAATGTGCAAGAATTCGTCTTTAAAATGTTGGAACGGTGGCTCACCCGTTTATTCGCTTGACATCCAACCAGGTATAAGGAAACATGTTCAGATCCCGCCTGATAGGATCCCACACATTTTGGTATTGACTGTTAATCTCGCATAGATGGTATATTATCATTTCTCACGCACTTTGTTATTGACTATTACGATCAATTATTTCAAATGCTGTTAGCTGTCTATATTGTTGTAAAATGTATAAATACCATGACCTTCTTTGTCGTTGTTGTTGTACTACAATACACAGTCCAGTCTTTGTCTTTTGATATTTGCGTGCTTCACTGAATCGGAAGGTACGACAAGCAGATAGGCATATTAGTCAGGCACAGACAGAACAAGGCGACAACGTCCTCAACTAATTCCCTACAGTTATAACAAATTGGCGACGGGGTTTTACCTTAATTCATTGCAGTTATAACACCGCCTCACTTAACTAGCCTTCACAAAATGTATATGACACATTGACAACTGCATGGAATTGTAAGTAGTTATTCAGCAACATTTCATCCTTCAGGAGAATAAGTTCTTTCTTATCAGACAATTTTATGCTATATCTTGACTGGAATAAAGTCATTTTATTTAACGGAAGCAACAGTTTCATCCAGATAAGTCAGCGCTCTCAAAATCCCCTCAGGTGTCTAATATGTCTATAAAGTTTGTTATGCATGTAGTTCTGTATACACAAAGAAAGTGATTAACTTGTATAGGTAGCGACGATCTGCTGGGGTGCCTTTGCAAAACGAAATATTTGGTTTTATTCGTACATCAAAAATGGGAATCATAAAAAGGATTTATTGGTACTCAATTTTGAAACAAAATGACGGCGAAAACAGCTGTCTATTCTTTTTTTTTCAACGATTTTTTTGCATGACTGAACGATATCTATTAGCGTTCTAGGAGGAACAGCAAATAAATGACTTCAATTGTTATGTACTCGTCGCTAAGTTATTGTTATGGACTGGTCGAGAATCTAATAGTCCTGACGCGAGAAGGCGGAAATCAGAAGACCACTAGGTTTGCGATGATACTTCTATTGTCCA